CCTCCTCCTCCTCCCTCTCAGGTACCGGCGCTCTCCTTTGGCTCAGTCCTGGGACGTCCCCGCGCTGCGAGCCTGTCCAGGGGCTCGGATACCGGGACCTCATCTCTGCTCTGCCCCACATCCCCTCGGCTCTGTCCCTGTATCCCCTCAGCTCTGTCCCCACATCCCTTCAGCTCTGCCCCTCCTTCCCCTCTGCGCCCCCATCCCATCCCGTCCGTCATCTTCTCTGCCGCTACATCCCCTCGGCTCAGTCCCTCCACCCCGCCATGCCCACGGTCCCCATCACGTTGGTACCCCAACACCCTTCTCCTTCCCCCTGACCTGCCCTCACTCTTGCCCCCTAGGGACCCCACACCCTTCCTCCCCAGGTTGGGATCTCCATGGGAACCCCAACATCTGTTCCCTCTCTGTGACCGTCTGTTGCGTCTCCTTGTTCCCCTGTCCCCAATTCCACCAGCTCTGGAGCCCTGGCATTTCGCCTCAGCATTCCTCACTGCCCCTCACAGCTTGTACAGCATCCTGGCTCTGAGGCTTCCTCACACACATCCTGTTTGTTCCCATGTTCTTGTGTGTTCCAAACTCTTTCCTTGTCTCCCATTTTCTATCCCATTGCCTGGAAACGTGTATGTGTAACTAGTATTAAAGGCATTAGTGGGTTGAGTTTGGTTTGATTGGTTTGTGCTGTTTGGGCTTCTTTGGATCAGACTGTAACTCTTCAGACACTGATTTAAATGACCCTTTTCTTTGCTGGTTCATGAACAGTGCCTCCCCCAGTGCACCCACTGGTCATGTGCCACTGGTTTACCATGAAACTTCACATTTTGTTTAGCCCAGTGTGTTCTGTAATTCCATGTGGGTTTCTTACAGGTCTTTCTTCATTTTATGCTGGATTTTGCGGCACTTTCGATTCTTTTGTGTGCTAGAATTCCATACTCTTGGTATCTTTTATAGCTATTTCCCCCTATATATTCATTATTTCTTCACTCCAGTTTTCCTCTCCTTGATCTCTCCTCCGCTGCTTACAACTGTACCTGATTTCTCTGAGATTCATCAGTCTCTGGGATTCTGGTTGAGTTGGGAGGGATGTGACTAACCCAGTATTTGGGTCCTGATTCTTTGGTTGTGTGACCTTCAGGCCGGTGACATGGCCACAGATGTGGCTGAGCCTCTGGTCCCTGACTGCAGAGGAGACGGGAGGAGTGGTGCCAGGTCGGACGCTGACTATCCTCTCCGGGTTCTCTACTGCGGAGGCAAGTGCTGGAGGGGCAGTTGTCGACCATCCTTACAATGTGATGGTTGTGAGGGCACACAGAACCAGAGATTCAGATATTCCTTTTTGGTCAGCTTTATGGAGAATCACAGAGTATTCAGAGCTGGAAGGGACCCACAGGGATCATTGAGTCCAGCTCTTGGCAAGCTGCACCACAGTCAGCTTGACCTTTCTGATTGTCTTTCTGAAATACCTTTATTGTGTGTTTTATCCCAAGCATTTTTGGTGAAATTAGAGACAGAGGTACTGACAGGTCTCTGAGTGTAAAAGAAGTGGGAGTGGTGCTCAGCTTGTGAACTGCTGAGCAGAGATCTCTTCCTGCAGGAAGCCAGTAAAGCCTTTAGCACAGAAAAGACTTCTGAGCATTAATATAGCAAAGAAAATGCCTCTGAGCATTAATATGACAGTAAGAAATAGAATAGAAGAAAGTAAATGTTGCAATGTGTTTAGAATTATTCTTTACTCACATTTGTGGGTGAAATTTAAAGGAAAGTAAATAATCTTGACAGGTGTGATTTTGGGTATGTGCGCCATTTTGCTTTGGGCTTGAATATTGTTGCAGAGGATTAGGAAATAGTCCCTTTGTATGTGAAAGTGTTGGCTTGTGTGGTTATGGGGCTGATTCCTTCTTTGGGACAGTGGCAGCTCTTGGTAAAGGAAAGCTGACCAAATCACATGATGATTTATTTGTTAAGTGTATCTCTTGCCTCAAGTAGAACTGGTGTTTCTTTCTGTAACTTCTCCCCAAGCTGTAGGCATCTCCCTCCCTTCCCTCTCTGACTGCTCCTGCTATGGTATTTTATCCTAATGCAGAGCATGTGAGCACAGGTCTAATGAGAGAAAAATGGAAATGTCATGGAGTCAATGTGTGCTTATAACCAGAAGTTACGATGTAGGAAGTTATCCCTACTTTAAAACACCATTTGGAATTTAATGCTAATACTAATACTAATGTAAGTGAAGAACGTTTTGTAATCTATTCTTTTTTTCCCCTTCTATCTTCAGTCTGTTCATTGCCTACAGAGGTGAGTTAAATTTCGTTATCAAAATTTCTTCGTGTCCTTTAATTCCTGACTATGATGATTCTTTGTGATATTTTCTATCTTTTAAATTGTGGCAGTTCTGTGCTTCAGCCACTGTCATCTTTAGGATGACATGAGGTTTCTTACATGCTGATACAGTATTTGTACTCAGTTATCTTAAGGAGAAGCTGAACAGCAAATGTGTTTTGGTGTATTTGTGATGTATTTTGTAGTTCCTCTGCTAACAACATTCCTATGACTTCTCTGCAGTACTGTGAATACATGCCTGATGTGTCTAAGTGCAGACAGTGGTTAGAAAAGAATTTTCCAGATGAGTTTGCAAAACTTACAGTAGGTAAGAATCTGTTTTCTAACTGATCTGTGCCCTTATATGTTCAGAAATCTTCGAGCTTTTCTGATTCTTATCTCTTCCTATTTCCTGCTCTGTCATGTGAAAATTAATCATTTTCCTAGGATCTACCATGCTTTTAGATGCTATGAAATGTGTTTGATAATGTCAGAAAAGACTATATAATGTGTAGTTTCAGTAATGTTATTTGGGTTTGCTTAAGTTTCCTGCTGTGTAACCAGTCATCCAGGCACTTGTTCCCATCAAAGTCAGTTTATTGGATTTTTTGCCCAGTATACTGTGGATGGCTGGAGGAAAGATCATTAATAATTGAGAACTTGTTAGTTTGCATTTGGGATTTAAATATTAACACTATGATTAATTTCTGTCTCTCTGGGGAAGAGCCTGTATTGACATTGGAACTGTATCTTTGAGCTTTTCTGGAGTCTAATTTGCACAAATGCTATAATGAAGATGTAATCTGCATCACTCAAGGAGCTGCTGTACTTCAGCAGAGTTTACTGATTTACCAAAATACCACTGCATCTTATTTCCTGTCCCTGTAAGGCTGTGGGTGTCTGACCACTGATTTTCTCTTTTTTTCTCCCCACTCCTTTCTGATGTGTTTAAGAAAATTCACCTAAGCAGGAAGCTGGAGTTGGAGAAGGCCAAGGAACTGCAGGAGGAGAAGAAGAAGAGAAGAAGAAGCAAAAGAGAGGCAAGGTCTAAATAGTTGATTATGATACAGTTTGGGGCATCCCTTTCTCTCCTGCTGGTCTGGCCCATGGCATGAATTCCTTACATTTTGGCTGTCGGCTTTGCTGTGACTGCACAGAAGATAGTCAATATCTTTCTCCTGGTGGTAGCAGAGTTAGTGTTGTGATTGATACTGATGGAAGAACTGGGCAGTGATAGCAAGTGAGAGCCAACCTGCATCCTGTGTTCCATTGTTCCTGTCACTGCTGTTGCACTTATTCAGGGAGTAATTCTTCCCAGTCTAAAATCAACTGGCATGCCTCTCAGAATACTTGTTTCTGCCCAGTTTAGCACTAATTTGTAGGTTGCCTGCAGGCTAGAACAAAGACAGTTTTCCTCTGTTAATGCCTCATGACTCTCTGCTTTTGCCTATTTTTCCTTTCACCTCTCTATTCATATAACAGGATTTGGTTTTATGCTTTTAACAGTGTCACGTATATCTCTATTAACAGCTCTGTCTCTTCTCAGCAATACTCATGAAAAATATTTTCAGAACCCAGCTTTGGAAGATACAAAATATATGAAACACTTTAAATACATTTACATTTTCTATCATTGGATTTCTTTCTGTTTATTTACTTAGCATACTTTCCCCTCTAAATCAGTGTTGGGGTTGTTAATAGACATTTGCCTTTGCAGTGTCTGTCGTGTCTAGTGCAGAAATTATGGTAAATACCCAGCAAGATTGACATTTTAAGCCACATATCACTGCAGATGTTTTATTTCTGTGTCTTGGTAACCAGTTTTGTTTATCTTGTCAGTAGACCATGTGTAGTGACCACAGTCATTTATGTTCTGTAGCTCAGATGCTTTTCCCAGACATTTCAGGGCATTTTCTTTCAACATTGATTTATTATGCGTGGTGGAATGGTTAGTTTTCAGTCTGGTTTTTGGTTCTAAAATAATAGTGTTTTAAATATTTAGAGATTTTCTCCTAGAATATAAATTTTCATGGAAACTCAAGGCATAGTGTTAAGTGTGATGGTGTAAAACTGTAAGAGAGAGGGTGAGGAAAAACAAGCCTAGACTTGCAAAGACACTGTAGGAACTTGCTGAAGAAATTTTCAGGCAGAAATTTACTGTCCTAAATTATCAGGTATCAGTTTATAATAATATAGAACTGAAAGTGCTGCATGTTAGAAAAAGAAGTAGTCACAGGGGTTAGTTTGTTTGTCATAAATTCTTTCGGTCTTCATGCTGAGAAGGCTCAGGAACATGAAACTTTGACTACCCTGGAGCAACTTGATGAGAGCACAAAAAGTTAGCTGAGATCTTAATCTGGCCTGAAGAACCCTAATGAGTGGAATCTCTCTTTTGCTGGTATCTGAAGTGTCCCCACAGGCTGGCCTAGAAACAGGCAGTAGGAAGGATGGTGTTAACTCCTGTGGAAGTTCGACAGTGAGCTCTGTGGCTCACTTGTGTCAGAGGTGTGGTGTTTGCTGCTGGCTCATATATCCATGGATGCTGGGGTTGTGCACAGATGTCCAGAACTTAATCTGCTGTTTAGCCCAGCAGTAAAGCACATGCTTGTGGCATCAGGAAATGGGCACAAGTAAGTTGTTTTGCCTCAGAAACAAACCTTGAGGATGTTAAACTTGTGAAGAACATCAAAGGAACAGTTTATTTCTAGGATTACAACTAGAGAACAATTCCTGAAGGAGGGTCAAGTGTAGACCAAATGTAGTGATGAGTGAAGTGTCGGGAAAAGCCCTTTCTTGATAATTGTGGCTGTGCAACCTGTACTTGAACACACATTTGACATGTATAGATTGTTATTTCTCATAATATTGAACTTTGATGACATGGATCTTTCTAAAATAACAATAAATCTGAGACAGTGAAAAATAAATTTCTGTTTACAGATGGGGAGATAAGTTTTCTTATAGTGATTAAATCTAACCCTATATGCTTTTTTCGCTGATGAATTATGACATCATTTAACCAATCATGTAACCTTATGCTCTGTTTTAAAGGGGGAAGAGGTCAGATAAAACAGAAAAAGAAGACTGTGCCACAGAAAGTTACAATAGCTAAAATCCCTCGAGCAAAGAAAAAATATGTCACAAGAGTCTGTGGCCTTGCGACGTTCGGTGAGTTATGTGGGTTTCCTGCTTTGAGCTCTGCCTGTGTTTAACCTCGTGGTATTTCTTCCGGTTGTATTCCGTTGAGTGATGTGTGAGGTGAAAGTCCCAAGGTGCTCTTAGCAGTTCCAGAGCTGCTAAAGATACACTGACTTCCCTCAGGGGCAGATGATTAAAGCCCTTATTTCCATGTCTTTCCAACCAAATAGGGCTATTGGTTGTTTGTAACAAAGCTTCCCACAGCTGTCCAGTTGTCAGACTTTATTTATAAAGATGTTTATTTTCAAAAAATTCTTATTTCGATCAGACCTATAAATATGTTACTGGCAATTAATTTTCCCTATTCTTGAGACTGTTTAAGTGAGGCTTGAACTGCCTTTTTTGTAAGGAAGTCAAAGGATTACCAAAGTAGAGCTGTCCTACATAACTGTGGTTCAGCTGCAAACAGCCACTTGGTGTTTATAACGACATCTGGCTTCACACATTGAGCACAGATTCTGTTAGAAAGGTGAGTTTTAACCTTGGTTGGATGGACAAGAAATGCTACATATCTCCTGCACAAGAGTATCATCAGTTTTCTTGAGGGATCAGTAATGCTCCCTAGCTTGATATGAACTGGATGTCTTGGTGCTGGAAACCAATCTCAAAGTGCTGGGACATGTTTCTGAACGGAACGTGCCTCTATGGAGAAACCTGTTCAATAACTATAGAAGTTATTCATAGCTGGAGAGGTGTTTTAACATTTCTGCATGTGCTTTTCTGGTGAGTGTATGCAGCACGGACCTGTGGAAACAGAATGTGCAGAGGACACTCAGCAGTTTTTACCTTGAAGCATTTGCTTGATCTGTACAGTCACATGTTTTGGGTGTAAACAACAAACTTCACTTTCAATGGAAACTAGAGCAAAGCTGCAGCTGTAAACTGCCACTACTTTTTCATCAGTGAAAATAAGATTTTGGCTTTAAGCTTGAGAAAATGCTTTTATGACAATGACTGTCCTTAAGTTGTCCGTTTTCCCCTGAACAGAAATTGATCTGAAGGAAGCACAAAGGTTTTTTGCTCAGAAGTTTTCCTGTGGTGCCTCAGTAACGGGAGAGGATGAAATCATCATTCAGGGGGATTTCACAGATGACATCATTGATGTAATCCAGGAGAAGTGGCCTGAGGTAAGGAACACTTTCTGCTGCAAGAACATGACTTTTCCACAGTAGGCTTGTGACTTTCCGATGATTTTGGAAAAGGATTTCATTTTTGGTAGCACAGAGTGTTGCACAAAAATGAAAGACCAGCTGTTGCATTCCCACTGTACAGTGAGGGAGGAGCTGTCAAACATCTGTGTCTTATCATAGAACCATAGAATGGTTTGGATTGGAGGGATCTTAAAGCTCATCCTGTCCCACCCTCTGCCAGGATCAGGGACACCTTCCACTAGCCCAGGATGCTCCAAGCCCCATCCAACCTGGCCTTGGACACTTTCAGGGATGGAGCAGCCACATCCACCTCTGTGTCACCATTTTTAACAGTGAATTTCTAAGTATTCTTACACTGCCATTCTATTTTCAATACCTCCTAAAACATTGCAGAATTAAAACAAACAAAGCAGGCCCGAACATCACACTCTTGTGCTTCAGAAGAAGAGGTCAGCTGGTTTGGTTTGGACTGAAATGGACAGCTGAGAGCTCTGGTTGTGCTGCTGTAATCACAGGTGCTTCCCTTGTCCTGGTATTTCCTGAGTGGAGTTTTTTTCTGAAATAACTCCGCAGGCCTGTCTTTATCCTGACCCACATAGATGGCAGCTGTGTCCTTTAAGCACATGTCACTTATGTAGAATTTACATGTACACAGGTTAATACTGACTGAGACATGCAAGAAGAAAATATACTTAACATGGTGTTTTGCCTGTTTTTTTCCCTAGGTGGATGATGACAGCATTGAAGATCTTGGAGAAGTCAAGAAGTGATAGTGACAGACTACCTTTATTTAATGAAATGCTTATAAATGATATAGCCAAAGTGAGGCTTCTAAATTCATTTGCTCTGCAGTGAGACTATGGAGAGCCCATATCCTTGGCATTTTCACTGTTCTGTATAGGCTGCTTGGGGTTCTTTTTTTTGTTGTGATATTTGCCAAAGTTCTGTTGGGTTCTATCATGCTTATGCATGAAGTAGGTTTAAATAAAATTACTGTTCCTCACTGAATACACTTTCTGGGTTTGTTTTTTTTTATCTATTTTCCTTTAACTATCTTACAGATAGCTCCTTTGTGCTGAGCTTAAGTGACTAAGGCTTGTGGCTGATGTGATGGTCCTTTGATTTATCTGCAGGGAATTTTAGATACCAGAAGGAGACAAACAATCTAAAGGTTAGTTCACCATTTAAGGGAAATAAATCCTGAAGTGGTCAGGCAGTTGGACTTAGATGTCATTGTAGGTCACTGTCAACTGAACTATTTTGTACTATTAAGTGGAAACACCGAGGAACATGTGAATATGACTTGAAAGTTTATTTTTGTAATTCCAAATGGTCTCCTAGCCCTGCTGAGTTTCTAAGTGAGGCAGTTGTGGCTTTATGCTCTTTAGCATGGTTCTGGCTCAAGGATGGTAGTAATTGACTCAAGTGAACAGTGAGCACTATTTCAGGGGCTGTATTAGCAGGTCAGGTGTGTGCCAGCTGCACACTCTGCTCTCTGTACTCCCACAAACAGCCTGCAGCATCGATCTGGTGCTTTTCATTTCCCTGCTCCATTTGATAACAATCAATGCTCCCTGGTGGCTCAGTGCTGGAAGGGATGTGAGTCACTCAACGACTGACCTCAGTGAGTTGAAAGCTCATCATACATCATACAATATGTTCTTTACACATAAAGTTCCTTTTTTCCCATGATTTTTATTTATAAACCATGACTTTATTTGGGAATTCTGTATCCCAAGAGCTGACTGCATCTCTGTAGTTGTTCCATTTAACACTGAATGCTGAAAATAGCCTCATTTTACTGTGCTCTAACCAGAACACTTTTGAAACTTATACACCTTCTGTGTTCTTCACAGCTGGAGTAACAAATTGTTTCTCTTGATGAGCCTCCAAACTGACAGAAGTGCAAGGTGACTTGGGAGCTTGTTTAGTTGTTGGTTCTTTCCCCCAATAGAAATAACTTATAAATATAGACACCATTACTCAGTGTTTTCTGGTAATTGACCTCTCATAAATTAGAATATGTTTCTGTATCTTCTGGGTGAGACACTGGCCCAGGGTGCCCAGGGAGGCTGTGGCTGCCCCAACCCTGGCAGTGTTCACAGCCAGGTTGGATGAGCCTTGAGCAACCTGCTCTGGTGGGAGGTGTCCCTGCCCAGGGCAGGGGGTTGGGACGAGATGATCTCTTAAGGTCCATTCCAACCCCTAAAATGCTATGATTATCAGAATTATTACTTTGTACAGCGACCCTTACATGTTGGGTTTTTTTTCTGACAACTGTTTTGTCTAGCATCCCTTCCCTCTGTAACACCACAGGTAAACTTGGAGAAGGGGGAAGCCACTACAACTGCCTCATCTAAAAGCTCAGAAGGGTTAGGTGATTGTCAGGTAATTTCAGAATTCTGAAAACAGGACAAACTTTCAAGTCATATTCACATGTTCCTCAGTGTTTCTTCTTAATAGAATAAAATAATTCAGTTGGCAGTGACCTACAATGACATCAAAGTCCAACTGCCAACTCTAATTTGGTACTTTTCTTAGCTACTGACACTGCTGTTACCGATAACTTTGGCAGTCAGCCCATCCTGCTGGGTTCTTATTCATCCCCTATTAACAATGTTATTAATTAGTGCGTTTTTCCAGCTCGGGCTCAGGCGGCTCCTGGACTCGAACCCGCGGCGTCCCCGCTCCGGGGGCTCCGCTCCGGGGGCGGCTCGGGCT